ACCACGTGCCAATAGGTTGCAGGTCTGGGTCTGGTGGGAAGACTTGAGGGATCCCGTGCGAACATGTTCCCGACGCTTATGAAAAAAAAAGACAAAGCCAATAATAATGGGGAATGTTGACACGAGAACGCACAAAGATATCTCCAAAACAAGATAGAAGGGACCACAGTTGCCCATAAGAGTAATCACAGTTCTTGATATTAAATCCATGGCAAAGGGCACATCCAGACTAATTGTGCCACCTCCTTGCACAGTCTGTATGACGAAGTAACGTGTAAGACATCCTGGAATCAGCTACAAGAGATACAACTTCTTTAAAGATGAACTTTTTTTTCAAATTGATGGTTTGGGTGCATTTGCACAAAAGAAAGATTTGTAAAAGATTGTTTAATAATTGCTGGATGGAAAACAATATTAAAGCTGGAATTCTTCAGAAGTAAAATGAAAAACGAGAATCAAACAAAGAATAGAAATTTTTCCCAGTGTTCTCAATCCAGGTAACAGTTCTTATAATTCCAAACCATTAGTAGCCACTGGTCTCATACACACAATGTAAGTAAAAGTGTAGTTGTTAACACCTGTTTTTAGTTATATTTACCTTTCTCAATCAAGTATTCATTTTTAAAAAGTATTTTTCAAGAGAAATCACGTATATTTCTTTTAATAGAAAAGACTGAGCCTTAAATTTTAAATATATGTGTATTTGTGCATGTTTATAACTAGAAGTCTATATGGAAAAAAATCACCTGGCCTGTGGAGGTTGCTGTTTAAGTGATTAATATTCATCTACAGAAGTTAAGGTACATAACAGTTTAATATTCCATGGTGACTTTACAGCATTTGTTTTTGTTTTGTTTTTGATGCTTTAAAAATTTATCTAAACTTTGAATGCGTGTTTGAAAACCCATTCTGCATCTCATTCAGCACAGACAACGACCAAAAAACTCCCAGAATATAGATGACGACAGCAACAGTGAAAATAAATGCAAGTTGCAGGCATTGGTGGAGAGATGGACAGGGTTGTGTGAACTTCCGTCTGGGAGGACAAGGGGGTTGAGGGCTTCTCTCTCGCTCACTGTTTTTTTTTTAAAAGCTACTGGTGCTAGGTCATACTGACTGCAAGTGGGAGATGGTTATAATGATAACAACAATAAGATCAACAATAACAATGTTGGTACAAATAAAGACAGTGTTCCCCTCAACTAATGGCAGTGGTGACAAAAAGATCTAAGCTGTGTGACAAACATTATTCTTCCCTGAACAGTGGTTGACAAGTAACTACTGCTGCAGACGCCACAACATAGAAAAGTTTGAATTTATCCATCCTTCCGTTTATACCATGTGTGACTGGTTGACTGCCAAAGTGCTAGCAGCTGGTGGGGGTAAGAGGTGTGTGTTAGTGGTTTAAAAGAGGTGTGTGGAGAAGGAGGTGGCAGAGCAGTATGTATGGAGAGATGGGGGTGGTGGGAAAGTGGATGGGAGATCCATCTAATTCAGATGCAGTATAAAATGAGTCAGTGGTTGTTGTTGTTGTAAAACAAGGATTTGTTCCTAAATGTGATTGAAGCAAAGAGAGAAAGGTGAAGGAAATTTATTGAAAAAATTGGGAATCTGAAAAGTTCAGTTTCAAGGAGGAAAAAGAAAAATCTCTAGATGAAAGAGAATAAAATGCTTGGTGGGGATGTAGAGTAAAAAAGTGATAAAGAAAGTGAATTGTAGATAGAGATGGGGAAAGAGGAATATTAAATGAGAGAAAGGGAAAAATGAATGAATTATAAAGAAGAGTGGAAATGAGAGAGTGAACTGAAGATGAAGGAAAAACAAAGAATTGTAAGAGAAAAAGAAATATAACAAGAAAGAAGAAAAAACAAAATAACAAGAGAAGCAAAAACACAGGTGAGATTGGGGGAGGTACTTGGGGAAGCAGAAATGACAGACGATAGGAATGAGAAAGAACCCAAAAAACAAAACAAAATGATGGGCAGTAAGTCCATCTTTCAAAAATTTCATATATATATATATATATATATATATATATATATATATATATATATATATATATATATATATATATATTCCTTTCCAGTTGTCTAATCAGTTTCTTGATGTTAAAATTAAATTCATCAAGGAAGGCACCGTATTTTCTTTTTTTAACCTAAGTACTTTTGATATTTTCTAAGATCATCTTCAGGGGTAAATTACATAGACAAACGTATTCTAACTGCAATAAAATCTGCCTTCCATTGTGATAGTGATTTTTAAAAACATGTACGAATGTGCTCTGTTATAATTGTTTTAAAATTTAAAATTTATCTGTTGTAGCACTGGATTTTTTTTTTTTTTTGCATAACAAGCATTTCAATATAAGGGAGCTGACCAAAAATTGGTAGATTTGTAAAATGGCATTAAATGTTACATGCATTTTAATATGTTGCTGCCAAATGGTGTTGTCAAAAAGTATTTTCCTGAATCATAAAGGAGTGATGAACATCCAAAAATTGATTAGACAACTGGAAAGGATGAGTATAAAAATAAGTAATTGTTTATATTATTTAATGAAATGTGTGCGTGTGTGTGCATGCATACAATATATTATAAGCATGAGAAAAGAAGAATTATGGGAATAGTTGGCAGAGGAGTCAGGATAATGATAGACAAAGTTGTGGGAGAAGTTTGATAGGCACTTAAAATGAGCAACCTGCTGTAACAGAGAGAGAATATTTTCTATTCATACAGTTTGATATCTGAAGGCAAAGAAAATACACATTGAGTTGTTCAATGACAATAAAATGCACATTGCCAGGGAGGTAGAGAATTATGTAAACAGAAGGCCACTTTGAGAATATGCAATTAAATCATTAAAATAAAAACATCTTAAAATTAGCCTGTATTTCAACAGAAGTGTTTGAAAAAAAAAAAATCAAAACTGTCCAGATACTCATATTGGCATATACTTATTTTTTTATCTGTTACACACACACACACACTTAATGAAATTTAGTGATTTCTGTCTGAATTTCTGAGATAGAAGTTATAATTTTCTACATTATTTACATGTGGATTATTGTCCTTATCTTTGATGTTATCACCATGTTTCAGCCGTTGTGCTCTTAGGCCTACATCAGGTGCTTGTCATATGTACTGAACCCTTTATTTAATCTACAAGGTACATTGTTCTCATTCTGCTGTGCATGTCTAGGGATATCTTATTTTAGTACTGTTCAGTTATTGCTCACCCTGTTTCCTACTGAGTCCAAGTATACACTGCCCAGTCTAGGGATTGAACTCACAATTAATGTCCCCAAATCCACTAGGCTATTGTTCCAGGCTTCAATAATAAATGAAAAAGAACCATTAATTTATAGACTTTCAAGATTTTGGGGAAAAAATTTCCAAATTTTTGTGTGTGTGTGTGATAGAGAGAGAGAAACTCGCCAAATAGCAGGAAAACACTTTAAAAATAGTTTCAACCTCTTCAACTATGAAAATTAACATTGCTAGATATTTTCACTGTAATATACAAAGTGCACCAGCTAATTGAGAACAAATTATTTAGAAGAATAGAAAACCTCTTCAACCTCAAGGATGGGCTTGAAAGCTATTGCATGTCTGCATCAGGTGGTTATCATTCATGTTAGCCATCAAGTCTATTATGGCAGTCTTCAAAGGATCTTAGGTATTGTGGAGCAACTGCTTGGTTTCATTCTAGATGATACTCCAGACAGGGGTTTCAAATCAGTAGCACTAGAAAGCCACATATTGTGTGTGTGTATATGGCTGGGGGATGATTGAGAAAAGTCAGCAGGCCACTCCTGGATCATATAGAAGGAAGCCAAGTCCTGCTGGAACATGCATGTCACTCCATTAATCCAGCACTTCAGTGTAGGCAGTGATATTGACCCTGAGGGTCCACAATTTGAAGTGGAGTGGTATGACACAGCCCTCAGCACCATCACAGATTATGTTAACTTTGTATGCATCACCATGGATACTTGTATGGGGTATACACAGAACCACCTCTCATTCCTCCTATTGACCTGGCCGCTTAAAAAAAGCTTGCTATCTCCAAGTCACAGTGTTTAGCAACCAGGGCCATAGGCAGAGTGTGCCTTTTCATTTCTGATATCAGATTTGAAGTGGCCATATTAATGCTCTTGATACATTTTGAAACAGAAATGAGAATGTCAAAGGTTGGCGCATGTCACATAACATCTTCCATTTATGACCTGTTGAATATGTGTTCTCAAATACTTGATGCTCTTTATATTTTTCAACTGTTCTTTCTTATTTTTAGTTCACATAAACTCAGGTTGTCATATCAAGTAGAAATAAGTATAATGTATATATCTATTTATGACAAGATACTTTATAAATCAAATTTCTATCAAATGAAAAGTCAAATTGATGGAATGCAAATCAGTTAAAGAATTCACTATTCTACTGCTCTTACTGAAGTTTATTTTAATGCAAAGATGTAACAATCCATCTACTAGAAAAATTGGTTCTATATCTAGATTGATAATTGAACCATTTCAGAGTATTTGAGTCACAAATATGTATTAGATACACACACAACTGCTTCTACAATCAAGTCTATGTTTGAGAGAGAGACAATGCATGGTTATTGATATTGTCAACTTAATAAGCATATTTCCCTTACAAACTTATCAAAAGCCTTATTCAGAACAACAGTTTGCATGGATAAAGATAACGTTATCATAGAATTAAAAGTAGTCACACTGTTTGAAAGCTTAAATTATAATCATGATTAAATGATATTAATGATTGTGAGCTAATGATAAACGTCTTTGAAAGCTTTATTAAAAGATGTAAATATTGCATTTCATGCTGACTATACTGTTCTGCATATTATCTACAGAATCTGAGGTGAGGATTATGGTATGTACCTTAATTCCAAGTTCCATAGTTGACTATGTAATGTTGTTAAGAGACAGATTTTTACCTGATTCGAAAACTGCTCCCTATAATGACCTTAAATAATCCAAGTGCTCACAGGAAAACTTTAAAACCAAAATGGGTACTGTTGTTATCCCATCAAGTTGTTATATATTATA